CTTCAGGAGCAGTGGGAAGGAATGTAATCAGTCCATTCAGAGAGAATTTCCCTGGTTCAGAAAAAAAGGGTTGCTCTGGTTTCAAAGAACATGGCAGAACCATCTAAAGCCAGAGCCCTGGCGTGGCAGGCAGATGTGGAAAGGGCTGCTGAAGCAGTTTGACAGTGAGATGGAGATGTGGGGTTGCTGTAATGCTCCACTGATGAGGCAGACCCATAGACATCAACTCTTAGGGAGGGAAGGTCCAGGGAGCCCCCTCTTTGTGGGTCACATGAAGGTGGAAGGCTCTAGAAATAATCTGGCCTCCAGGCAACTGAGCACCCCCAGCTTTGCATGCCAGCACTCCTTTGTCATCAGCCCATCTGCCAGGCAGATGAGCTGGCAGAAGATCAGACAGGTACAATGAACACCTGCTTGTTTGCCAGCACACCTTCCTCCCATAGGCCCTTATCATGTGGCATCTCAGCTTTGTCTGAAATCCAGTGGGAATGTGCTCACTTGGAGCTTCTCCAGCCAGCACTACAGTTTAACCCTGACCAACAGCTGCAGGCTGAGATAATGTTTGTGGGCACAAATTTCTGTGCAAATATATGTTTCATCTATTTTATACTTTTTATGAATGTAAACAGAGCTAATCAGTGAAAATAGTACTTTGAAAAGTTGAAAGACCTGTTTTTATTAACCTTGAAAGTAGCTCCCCTTGAGAGCTTTTCTTTCACCAGTTTAAAAATTTAGTATTGTATTTACTGTCCTTGTTGTTAAGGAAATATTTTAATGAAGCAAAGTGGATAATGACTTGCATACCTCTGATTATCACAGGAGCAGAACATTAGAGATTGTTAAAAGAAATAGGCTACCTCTTATGCTAAAGGTGGAATAATCTACAGGACCTTTGAGCCTGCCCTGTAATTCCATACTCCTTGGAGCTGTCAGAGTTTCCGGAACTCCATGGAATAGAGGATTTGTGTTTTCTAAGACATAGCACTACCAGATTGCTGAGACATAGCACTGCCAGAATACTTTTTATTTGCAAATAAGTCCTGTCCTTTCTCCTGGCTGTACTTTTTTCCATTGAATTATTTTCTTAGTTTTACATATATATAAAACTAAAGAACCATGGGAACCAACTATCCCCATGGGAATAAATTATTAATCAAAATATAGTGATTTAGTAGCATCAAAAAATTGTGCAATGAACTTTTCTAATTAACTGTTATATGAAAAGCAGAAAAAAATGCAGCTAATTTATGGAGTTGGTTGGTTGGATTGAAGACAAGGGAAAATGCTAAATGACTGACTTCGTTTTGACTCCATGTTTTGACTTTTTATCTTTTCCCTCTTTTAACTCTGATTAAAGTACCATTATCAAATTTACAATGGTAAGAACAACATGAAGCTCTCCTCATGAAAATCTCCGATTTCTAGAACAAAAAACACAACACAGCATAAGGAATGAGAATCCAAGCATCTCATTATGAGATAACACTGGAAAATAATGGTAAGGGGAAGGTTTCCAGAGAAAGAACATCTGTTTCATGAGATATGGAAAAAAAAAAAAAAAAACCAAAAAACCAAAACAAGCAAAGAAAAATCTCATGAGGTACCTTAGATTAGTACAAAACAGAAATTGAAACTCTCATCCTGTTATTAGAGATGCAGGATTTGATACATTACATCCTCTTATTCTTTCTGCCGTTTCACTCATTGCTTTGCCTTTGCTTCTTAGACACTTGTTCATATAGAACCAAAATCAAGATAAAGCAACAGGGTTTACCTCAAACTGGTAATGTATCAAATCATGCAGAAATCAAAGCCATCTTGGGAATCCTGGGAAATCTGCTCTCAGTGTTACAGCTATTAGTACCCATTCAATGGTTACAATCTAAGATTTGGGAAAATTTCCCTATTGTGCCATTCACGAGCGTAAGTTTCATTGTGCCATTGCTTAAAGTTAGCTATCTTTCCAGAACTTGCTTGACTCAAGATGGATATTAAAGCAGATGGTTTAACATTTTCCCAGCTGGGGTCTTTTCTCTTTTTCTTTATTTTTTCTTCTTCAATAAAAGTGACTGTAAGTTTTTTGCCACTCAGCATATTCAGGTGACATATTACATGTTCACTCACCATATTACGTGTCAGAAGGTAATTTCTTTCCTTCTAAAATTCTTACCTTTCCATCTAATAACTTGTATTTTAATAAGGACTCGCTGTTATGCATCTACTATTGTATCCTAAATAATCCCATCATAAATCAGGGATTATTTCCTATCTAAAAATTATATATCTTCTTGAAAACAATCAGCTGTTTTAACATGTGTCAGTTGACTCAAAATACACAGTGAGGAGGGATTTTCCTAGGTTTGGGAGAGTTTAAAAATGTCACCCCATCTTTCCAGCATGGCTGGAAATGAGTAGATCTATTCACAATTATTATTGCTGGTTGAGAATAACTTTCACTTTTGAAGCTGCCTGAGTTGTGCTTTAATCAGTGGAGCTTTTTCTTTTTTTGTACAAACTTACACCTGTGGTTTACTACCCAAATTATCATGTGGAAGAGTCCATGTATATAGACTGTTCCAGTAAACCACACAAGAATAGTCTTGATTTTAATGGGTTGAATAATCTCATTCTGAAAGCTAAGAATTCTTGAGTACAAATACTTCAAAGTGAACTTCAAGGGAAGAAAACGAGCTGGAAGTTTATCCTTCTAGCATAAGCTTCAGCCTGCCAAAACCTACCAAACTGTCCAGATCTGAATCTAAAAGCACATTTTGGCATTCCAGACCAGCACTGTCTTCCACTTCAGGATCAAGCTTTACACAGAACTCAGATTTTTAACCCCAAATTTCCCCACATAGACAGGTCTAGGCACAGTGGTCTACGCAAAAGCAACTTCATTTGAAGAGTCAGGGGTTTTGCTCCTGATTAATCTTCTCACAACTGAGACCCAAAGCAAGTACCTACATGAGGAAGCAGAAAACAAAGTTACTGGAGGTGATTCACTTCCCCCTTTTTTCTCTTTTACTAAGCAATCTCCAGCTATTACTAACTTAAACATTCCTGACATTAATATTATATTTTTACCCCAACAGCTCCTCTTCCTCACAAAGTTGTGCTCCCTATGTCCAAAACTTCCTAGTGCAGCAGAATGCTCTAACCTTCCCTGATCTGACTTAACTTACATTAACTGCACTTGTCCAGAAGCCTCAGCCTGGGCATTTTTATCCAAAATCATAGCTGGAGGATCTACAGTTCGTTTTCCATACAAATCCCAGCAGTTAGATTTTTATACCAACAGAAGGCTTGAGATCATATCTCTTTTCATTCTAAACAGTTTTGACACTGTAACTGCCACTTTACAGAAGAAAATCTGAGTTTCCAGGCTACAGGAAGGAAAACTGACCACTCTTATTTCCCAGCATGAGCAGAGGAGTAGCAGGACAGGCCAGAAGCAGAGCTAGTGAAAGGTGGTATGATGGGGTAACATCATCAATGAGGACATGTAGAAATGAGCAGCATGGGTTCTCAGCTCCCTAGATAACTTTGGAGTTTAATTCACCAAGTGAAATACAAAAATTAAATGGTTATATTAAGTGGAGCTGCATTAAATGTCTGAATTAGAGTATATTATTTTAAGAGAATATAACCACAAGTGGTAATCTAAGTATAACTGCAACCACGCAATATGTGCAACTGAAATAGAGTGCCGTGTTGGCAAAACATTGGGCTGTTTCCTAGCTCAAAGCTGCATGGATCAAGCAAGCAGCAATTGTGAGGCTTTTGCATTAACTTACTGAGCTCCCATCACAGCTTGGAGAGGAGCAGCCAGTCACGCTGTAGACAGCTCAGATAAGTGTTCCTTGAAGACTGACATGTTGTTCCCAACTCTCTTGTCTAATTAAAGACCCAAAACATTATTCTACTGCAGCTGATGGCAGCACTCACTTGACATCAAAGGGAATCAAGATTTGCCATTCATTTATGAAGAACTATTTTTACCATATGATTAAAAAAAAAAAAAAAAAAAAAAAAAAAAAAAAAAAAAAAAGCAAGGTAATTCACAGTGCATCCCGTGGTAGCACTTTATGTCTAGGTGCTGGCAGACCCCAGTTCCACAGTGCCTCAGAGGTCCCACTTGGAGCCAAGAGATCAGCTCCACAATGAGATTTGCAGTGTATGAACCAAGTTCCAGTAATCTCCAGAGATCCCAGCTCTGGCAGGAATCCCATCCTGCTGTTCAACTGGCAAACATGCTGGAAGAGTGAAGAGCTTGCAGGCTAAATAGCCAAAGATACAAAAAACTCCATTGTGCAGATAAGAAGGCATATGCCAGGTGGCTCTCCTGAGTCTCCTGCTTTGTTTTGTGTAAGACTGAAACTGAAGATAGTTTACAATCAGGGCATAAGTGCTGAAAGAACTGTGAAAAATTAGGGATTACATCTGAGTCTGGAAAGCCTTGGCTCCCAAATAAATGGGGAGAAAAGGGAAAGATCTCCAACCTTAAAATTGTGATATTATTAATTACCATTCTCCAGATGAAATGTTGAACAATAAGGTCTCAAAAAAAGGAATCAAATGCGACAAAAATTTCTTCCTCCACAGAATTTTAATTTGGATTTTAGGCAAGGAAATATTTTTGCATAATTGATTGTTGCTGCTCTATAGAGACCTGCTGCTTCAGTCATAGTATGGTAAGATAATTCTAAATGGAAGATCTTGTGTGAAACCAAACTCTAATCTGTGTTTTGTATTTTAATGAAGATTCTTTCGCAACATATTCCATTCTGGCTAATGAGATAGTAGCAATAAATGCACCAGGAAGGACAGATGGAAGATAGCCAGCTGTCTGAATCAGAAGATTTTCAAAGTGCAGTAAACAAATGAAGCACACTTTTCTGGCTCGAGGCCGAGCTATACTCTAGGGAACTGGTCAAAGAGTGGATCATGAAAAGCTTTTTGAGAGCAGCTAAATTCTACAGCTGTGGTCTTTGTTTTTCTAGTACTTTGCAAGAACAGAAGGGGGAATTACGAAAGCGCCTATCGTACACTACCCATAAGCTGGAAATGCTTGAAACAGAGTTTGACTCTACACGTCAGTATCTTGAAATAGAATTGAGACGTGCTCAGGAGGAACTTGAAAAAGTAACTGAAAAACTGAGAAGGTTAGTAATGAACTTTTTGAAATAAATAGAGTTATTAGAATTTTAAGAGTGACTGTATAAAAGGTGGATGTAAGCAAAAGCAAACACAGTTGCAAACATGCATGATTTATTATTTATTGATTACATATTGTGTTTTGTATTTAATATATAGATTTCATTTACCTGAAGGCCACATAAAGTTATTTACATGTGATATGTAAGATGTCTCTGTACTAAAAGCAAATATGCAACTAGAAATACACCTATATATGTGCAAATATAAAATTATTTATGTATAAATGTACATGTGGGGTATTGCCAGATGGCATTACACATACAAATGTTATAAACCCACTACATATATATATACATATATTATTTATTCTCTATATATATAGATAAATCTTTTATTCAATGACTTTGCACATTTTCTTTGTTTAGACTTCATTGCGCTGATACAAGAGAATAGAATTTGGCTCTCCGTTACTCAAAGCTGAGACTATGTTCAATTGAAACAACATTCAGGCATTTTGCATTATAGTACAGCAAATAATTTACTTTTTCCAAGCAGAATGGAATGCTGCTGAAAAGCTATTATTTAAAACTGTTGTAGCTGTGGTACAGTGCTGTTGCAAAAGGGGAACCCAGTTAATGTTAGTGATAAATTATGTTAAGCTTGTGCTTCTGACATTTCTAGCACTGATTAAAATGGTTTGTAGACTTAGCCTAAATTTATCATGATTCTTAATATCCACTTTTGCATTTGTTCTCAAAACTTCTGAAACTAGAATTATCCACTTATACAGGAATGTATTTGCATGTCTTGTGAGCCTTTCTTAAACTGCTATCTTAATGGAACTATTTGATTAATTCATTGGATGACTCAAAATGAAATTCAGAATAAATCATTCCAGGGCAATACCCAAAGAAATATTTTTCATTCCTTGTGGAAGGCAAAAACCAAAACAATGACAAAAAAACACCAATAAACTGAGTTAACCAAACCATTTAATGAAAATTTTAAACAGGATGGGTCTGTAAGATCTCAAATTAGGAAACAGCCTAGTGTGGTCTAATAACTTAAATGCTTCTCTAACTGGGGATGCTTCTCAAAATAAGACTGAAATATGCAGATGTCATGGTGATTTTGAAATTTGCACACATCTATCCAGAGCAGTCTGGAGGTTCTCCATGTATTTTTCTTGTCAATATATTTTTCCTATTTTTTTACCTAGAGCAGAGCCACTGAAAGTAACTTCATTCTTGATGTAGTTTTGCTTCGATACATTCCAGGGCAGGGAACACTGGTGCTCTTTTCCCTTGAAGCATCAATCTGGGGAGCTGCCATAAAGCAGCAGAGGGGCTGTCCATCCCACTTCTGTTAAAAGTTAAAAGGTGGGCTCCCTGGTCAGTAGAAAGCCTCTTATCAACTGCACTGGGCAGCAGTGAGTTAAGCACCCTTTGAAACTCGGGCCAGGGACTCACAGCCAAGTCTAGCACTCATAACAGAACACCACGTTAGCAGAACTGACTTTCCAATATTCTAATGGAACATTGTACCATATTATGAAGAAAACTTATATTAAAAATTATGTTTCAGGCAGGTGATTACTCCCCTGAAGACATATCATAATGGAAGCCAAAAATATTTTACGAGGTGAGCTTTAAAAATGTTTCTATTGAGAATAGCAAGGCATCCTGCAAGTGGAACATCTAGATTTGTCAGCCTGGAGAAGTATAATGTCTGAAAAAAACCTGTCATCCAAAAGCTTGTCAGCAACATGTCACAGAGGAAAATCAATGCGAGAAAAACAAAGTAGAATTAGTTTCAATTATGTGTCTCTTCCTTTATTCACTGCACAGGGAGAGAATTCATCCCCCCACAGATGAATAGGCCCTGTGAAACAAGATCCCACTCGTACACTGGAGAACATTTCTGTTATTAAATTTTCTTTTCTGTAAAGTGCAATATTTTTTTTTCCAAGAGGCTGAATGACTGTCCTTTTGTAATCCTTTCTGAAAGTCTTTATCTTAATTTACCCAGAATTGCCTGTGCTGTTGTTAGGCTTCCCCAATTTTACTCAGGAGAGGAGGTCACTTGTGTGGTTCAATGGTCAAGTTTTCAACCTCTCTACAAACATTCAGAGATGGCCTCTTTCTTTTTTCTCAGTGGGAGAACAGTGCAAACTAGATTTGAAAAGCATAACTGTAAAGCATAGGTTCAGCTTTGAAAAGTGACTGAAAAGAGAGGGAATTTCATATTCCTTGCAGTGGTCCCTTATCTGACTTGGTCAGCACAGCTTTTGTAAGTTAAAATCTAAAAAATTTCAAAATCCAAACTTGGAACCACATCTGGACTCCAAAGTTCACTTTGGGTTTTTCCCTTGAGGCCTTGCCCTGGGTAACTACTTGATGAGGTCCCTGTTCTACCTTTTAACATAAAGTGGAGTTATTTTAAGACATGAGAAGTAAACTCACAAAAGCCTATATTTAGCACTGAGATTAGCCCACACATATAATTATTTCACCAAAAGCAAGACATTTCACAGACTGAAGGGGTGTTCTGAACAGGAATCCTGGAGGAAAAACTATTGTTTTCATAAGAATGTTAGTATAACTTGTGATAACAGAGAGAGAAAATTTGAACAAGAAGCTACTCTTTCAAGAGTCACTTTTCAAAGCTAACTGCACTCGAGAAGAAATTCTCTTCTTTAAAGAAAGTCAGCCCAAGAGTAAGCTTTACTCTAAATGTATTTATTGGCCTTAAGAGGGCTTGAGATTGAGTGGAAGCAGAGAAATAGAGGCTTTTGCAGACTCCCTCTTCAGTGGTGATCTGCAGCCTCAGGGAGGAGTGTGCTGTCGTGTGGGTTAGAGCACAGACACCTGACATCTTCAATATGGTCAGAATATTTTTCATTTGACTCTTATTTGGTCAAGAATCTAAACCTTTTTTTAATGGATGCACATAAGTGCACTTGAAGTCACATGAGTATCTCCTAATGACATGAACGACACAAAAATGCATCAACACATGATAATAGGTTATCAAATCACATATGTTTATCCTTATAGCAATTTTACAGCATAGTGAAACCTACCCTTCATTTTATTTTCAAAGCCAGATTTACAAGGTTAAAATATTTCATACTTCACAATGTTCAGGCTATCTGGGTGTATTTTTTCTGCAAACAAGGTTAAGTTACCATTTGTTCATCAGATCATTTTCAAATTTGAATAATTTTCCCTACTTTTTATTTCCCCTTTTCTTTATTTTACAGTTTTGCCTAAAGATTGATCTGACTCTGTTCCTCTTTTATCCCTTAAACACTTTCTTCCATGTATTTCTGGGTCCATTTCTCTCCTTGCCACCTACATTTGCTGACACTTCTTTTGGCACAGTGAATTTCCAATTTGGGGTTTATACATATACGTGCATGTGTATGTGCTTGTGTACATGTGTATGTGTTTGTGCTTATTTTGACTACTTTTGTATACTGTTCTCAATAGAAACACTTTTTGAAGCTTCCTACTTACTGTGGATTTTTTTTTAGATTTGATTTGATTGTACTGGAAGTTTTGACCAGATTGTACTGGTCATTTTCTCAGCGCAAAATGAATGTGTTAGAGAACTAGAGTTTATGGGTTACTTTCACCTAAACATGCAACAGGCAAAAATTGGATGGGTAAAGGCAAAAGAAGCTACAAAGCGGGAAGCAGACTGTGATAAACTCCTGCAAAACCCTCTACAACCATCTATGGCATAGAAGTGTTGTCACTGAAAAATAATTAGTGAAAATTAACATTTCAATCATCCATATCAAGAGCAAAAGTGAAAACAGAAGCTGAGGAACAAACCCATTGTTACCATGATAAGTCTGCTATCCAAGCAGCAATTACTGCTGGTTTTATTCATGGTCTCAAAGTTATGGAAAGGGAACCTTCAGGGTCTCCCTTGAGCTGTCCACATCAGCAACCACTGCAGAACAGCCTGTGGTACAGGGGTACTTGGGCTAGAAAAACCCTGAACCAAATTTTTTCGCCCCTTTACTTTCAGAAAGTTATGCAAGTGCTTTTGAACCCATGCAAACTTTTAGGGCATTGCAGGTACTAATGTTTAAATCAGTTTTTACACCACCTCCACTTGAACCACAAACTGCCTGGGTGCAAAGCGAGTTTAACCTGTTCTATTTTGCTTTACTAGACAAAAACTATAAACCATGACAGAGAAGATACTGGGGCACTTCTAGGCTCAGCCAGAAGGCACTATTTTACTGTTACTTTTACTCTAAATCCTTTCTTCCTGCATCATGGCATGCATCCTTACAGCAAAACAAAATATTTGTGCTGAGTAGCTACAGGCTAAGTCATTTTAACCCTCCTTGTATCAAGATCATCTCTGCTTTCTTCTGTACCACAAAAAGATGGGTACAGAGTGCCCTGAAGCTTGTCTCTGTGGTGTTAACAGCTAAATGGCTGGGAAAATCCCAAGTAAACCTAGAGCTGCACAAATCAATGTCTGTAGAGGGGCTTAGTGGCAAATGCTGTGAGGAGCATGGACAATGCAGAGACTTGTAAACTTCAGTCAATCCTTTAAGTCACCTGGACACAAACACAATAGCACTATGAGAATTGGTAATTGCTGACCAAGTCTCACAGTGCAAGTCTCAGAGATTTTCAGCCCATTTGGGTCACCACCTTAGCAAACACTATTTATCACAGATCCTCCTCACAGGAAGGAAGTCTCTGCTCAGCAGATCTGTAAAAGCTGGCAACATTGAGACTTCCCCCAGTGCACATTGGAATGGCTGCCCTGATTGTGGGCTGACCCTTGGTACCCTGAGGAGGTTCACCCGTGGGGATGTCATTATTTATATCCACAGAGCAGATGTCCTTGGCACAGACATCCCTTCTCAGGTCTGTCAGCAGATGTTATTGCAATGCTGGGAGACCCAGCCAGAGCTCTGATCCCTTAAGAGGGGCACTGCAAGCCATTGGTTTGCCCTGAATGGAGAATTCTTTTCATTTAACTGGAAAGAAAATCTCCATGGAAACAGAAGTCGAGATAAGCATCACATTGCCAAGAAGGGTGGGCTGGACCTTTTGATTTGCGGCTATGGCATGTTTGGAAAACAGATCATTCCAGTTTCAGCAGCCACTCCTAACCAAATGATAAACAAAGAGACTTCTTTATTCCAAGTCCCATCCTGATAACCACAGAAACTACACCCAGATCCACATTTCTGAGAGGAAATGTGTTTTGCTGTATAAATGTGGATTACATCTGAGTTCAGTCTTACAGTGAAAACACTTGCACATTTCCTAAAATCTCCTCACTGCTGAAAATACTTTGACCTATTGATCAGTACAGCCATACAGATTTATTTAGACAAAATTTTCACAGCAGAGCTTCTAACATTTGCTTTACCTTTGTTATACATCATGCTGAGGTGATGGGTACTAATGAACTATCCTCCTTAGGTTCTGTGGAGATAAAGCTACAGCTACTACCAAAATTCCAATGGTTTTCCCATAGGCTGTGCAGCTTGTTCATTACAATACCAAGGTTACCATCTAAAGATGTGCAGGCTGAAACTTTTCTTTGGTGTGTTGCTCTGGAATAAGTAGGGAAGCCTCATTTTGTGAGCTCATTCAGTCCCTAAGTGCTGATAAAAATAAATACCCATCTTTTCTCAGCTAAGCTACCTAAATATACTTCCTGGAAAAAACAGGCAACTTTTTGAACTTTTGTTGAAAGAAGAAATATTCTCTTCTAAGTCACATGTTGATGCCCACATGTTGCTACAGTCATTAGGATTCTGCTGCAATTTCACAATAAATCTTTTTTGTGCTGCCTCAGCCTAGAGCTCAAGCTTCCTCTCTTACATACTATTCTTGAGCCTGATGTAAAACTGTAATTACCTTGTGCAAGTTCCTAGGCTGTAACTTGTGTCTGCACACAAGTGCAGAACGACCAACATGTCTTCACTTCCTGCTGGAATGTGCTGCTAAATATAGTAAGAAAATATGACAAGTTTGGAAGTTTGCTTAGGGAGCAGGTGGTAATTGCATTTCAAAGGCAACCACTGACTGGTAACAGGAGTGATAAGCAAATAGAATTCGAGTAGTGCAAGCCAAGGTTTTGTACTGATGTGAAAATACAGGTAAAAAATCAACTTGAAAAGCAATGCATTCAGTTACATGATATCATCTTTGTTTTAGGATACAAAACAATTACCTAGCCTTACAAAGAATTAATCAGGATCTGGAGGATAAACTTTACAGAATGGTAAGTTATCAAAAGTGCTTTTTTAATATATTAAATGTGGTTTTGTGGTCTTAAGTCACTGGAAAAACATGTATGTAGTTGTCACAAAAACACCCTCAAGCTCTAAAAGCAGTTATGCTTAGAAAAGATATCATGATGAAGAGCTCAAGCTGTGTACAATGATATAGCTCCACCAATTTAAATAGAGATTGCGTAGACTGATGATCTAGCTGAGCAAATTGTACCTTTAAAATAATTTTGGTTAATTTAGTTAATAACTTCATGGGATCTAAATATTTATGTTTTCATTAAGTGTCAAATTTAAATAAGGTAATCCAAGATTTTCTCATGCTTCTTAGCTATTTCCATTCAGCTTTTATTAAGTCATTTAATAGAGTTTGGGTGGCTTGACTTTTAAATTCCTTCATAACTATCAAGCTCAGTATATTAATTTCCAATCTGCATGTGTCTGCCACCACAATGTCAATGTCACTCTCACAGGCCAATTAATAATCAAGTGAGGAAAATACTGCAGCCTTTGTGGGCTGCACATTGCAAGACACAGCACCACTGGTTCAAAAGAAGTTGAAGATGCCAAAAAGAAATGGCAAAGCCGTTGGGGCCCTGGCTCATTGCTGATGATGTTGGGACACTGTGCTCACTGTTATGGGTAAAACTACAAAGGAATGTGAGGATAATGTTTAGAGAGGAAAGAATGACTATTTGGAACTTCCAAAGATCTCAGGTAGCAATTGCATGGATGTGGGGGAAACAATTTATTATGGATTTTGAGTAAGCACGGATTATAGCATACAGGAGAGGCACCAGCCTTTACTAATAAACAAAATTTTGAAAATGCCATTGTTCTTATCTCAGAATCCTATTTCAATAGTTAACAATGAATAGGGAACTGAGCTTTTGCAACTGGCTAACAGGGCAAAATTACAGCCGGGCTGTAGCTGACATTTGTTCATAAATACGTGTTTAAACATTGTAAAAGCATAAATAACATTTGGTCTCAAGTAATTGCTTTTTTTCTCCACTCTTCCTTTGTTGATTTTTCTTTTTGCCCAAATCACTTCAGGATTTTTTTCTTCACCTGTAGCCCAACATTTATTACCTATGCACCACAAAAGATAAATAGAGTCATTCAGGCTGGTAAATGAAATAAAAATAATGGAAACACCCAAAGGAGGACTCCAGAAAATCCATGTGTTTTTATCAGGTATTTCAGATCAAAGCAAAGAATTTTTAAACTGCTGTTTCCGCATTCAGTTAAATACTTGAGAAATTATTTCAGCACAGCACATAAAAACTGAAAACCAGTCCTGTGGAGCACTGTGCCTTCCTTTATCCCACTAATAGACAGTCATTGAAGATAGCTTTAGAGGCTTGAGGAAGATCAATCAGGCTCTGTACACCACTTAACTCCAGACTGCTTTGCTTTCTGAAAAATATTTAAACTGAAGACACAAAACAAACCAAAACAAATGTCAAATAGAAACTCCATTAAAAGGAAAAAGATGAGGAAGAAAGTACCATATCTGATTTAGATAAGTCAAACCTTTTGATTTTCAGGGCACTCCAAGAGCCCTGAATACTTCAGAGACACTTAAATTAAATAACAGCTGGTCTGGTTGATCAGCAGAGCTGGTGGACTGGGCTCTTGGATACCTTTCTCTCCCCTTCCTGCTTAGGAGGAACAGCTGTGTGTATTTATTGTTTTGTTTTGTTTAGTTTGCCATTCTAAAATCTAACACTTCTGATTTCTCTACCCTTACACAAATCCAAATCTATAAAGCATGTGTTTACTTTTTCTCTCCCCTATCCCATCCCTCTGCATACACACGTGTGAATACACACACACACACACACACACACACACACGTTTTACTATTTGATGGGCTCAAATTCAGCAAGCAGGAAAAGAAAGACCCCCAGGCAGTGGTCCCTTGCTCCCCTTGCCTGCAGATAACATGGGATGCTCCCAGGAGTTGAGTTGCTCCCTGCCCTAACAGGTGACTCACAATTCCCCCTCTCCCAGTGACTGGTCTGCACTCATTGCAACTTATCTAGGACTCCACTGGGACCTCCCTTTTCTAACATTTTTGGTATCCTGAATGTTAAAACCTTTCATGCCTGCTATTGGTATGAGATATAAAAAAATAATCATTAATTCATCAGCAGTCACAGAAAAGAAGCTGATGCAGCAGTTGCTTTTCTTCTAGGCTCTTCTTCCTTTTGGGTGCTAGCCTATAAAATATTTAAAAATATTTGAAAGCACACTTCTGATCACAGCAAATGGTATCCAATTGAAACCTCTGTCACATCAGAACTTAAAGTATAAATATAACATATGAACCATGGTGTCTGACTTGGCCAAGTGCTAAAAAATGTAACCCTGAAATCAGGGTAGAGCTTGCTGTATTAAACTGGGCAAGACTAAACACATGGAACAGTAGAGGAATGTGGCACAGCATTAAAATTCTGCTGTAATTCCTCATAAAACTTCTGTTCTTACTGCAGTAAGTGCCTTCAACTGGAGAAGATTTCTTTAGTCTTGTAAGAACTGGTTAAGAAGTGGAACATACAGGCTGTCTGCCTAAATAATTAATCTTAATAACTCTTTTCTCCATTAAGATGTGGGAAAAGTCTAAAGAGAGTCCTCACATTTTGCACTGCAATTCCATCACAGCACTCTTCAATCAAAAAGTTTTTATGATATTTAGTTCCAGTTGTCATCAGTAATCTTCACTTTCCTTTACACTTGTTTGAGCTTTTGGAGCTCTTCCATGGTCTTGCTGCTCACAAACAGCAATTACAAGTAGATTATGCAAGTCATCCCAACCACAAGAAATCCTTTATAAGAGCTCAATCCAGCTGTACTCTCTATATGATCCTCTCTAGAATTAAGCAATGTATTTTAAAAAGCTTTTGAAGTTTTAAGGTTTTTGGTTGCATTTAGTTCTGTAGTTTTACCTTTAATGCCATAAGCCAGATTTTTAACAGTATCCTCTTTTGGGAAGAACTGGTGCCTAATAATAGCTGCTTAATAAACCCTACTGCTAATGAAAATTGCACCCATTTCTCCTCCCCCATCTGCATTTTGAATGTTCTTGAAAACATGATCACAGAAATCCAGCTGCAAAGAGCTCAGGAGACCTTATTATCCAGAAACACCCTAAAATATCCCTCTTTTACAAAGTTTGACAGACAGACTGCTGGATGGTATCAGCTCTGGTTCCCACCTCTGCAAAGCCAGCACCAGCCCTCTGCACACAGTGCATTATACATTTTATGATCTGTCATGATGAAAAATCTTATATTTTTACAATAAAAATGTACAAAATTTACAGCTGAATTTTACCGTAGAACTTTCCCAATATTACACACCAAAGTCTGATTTTTCATTTACGTTAAGGCAGGATGAGAGTGAGGCTGCCATAAAGCTGGAAGAAATTATATATAAATAAAAATATATATAAATAAATAAATTATATAGAATATAGAAATTATATATTATATAAACAAGCAGTAAAGAGGGATTTGTGTTAAGGATGATCATGTCTGAAATTCTGCACCTTCTGAGCACTGCACTGGTTTTCATCCCATTTCTGCCTCTCCCTATGAGCTGGAGGAGGACTAAGAGGTACAGCAAATACTTTATATTATTAAAAGTTATTTATCAAGCTCTTGAATATCTGGGGTTTCCCAGTTTTCTGGCCATAATATTTACTTAAGTACCTCCAAATATGAAATCCAAATATGAATTAAATGCAAGCTGGGCAGTTTTAAGTGGTGCTCTGAGACCTTGTGTCAGGGAAAAGTTATTTTAAAAGAAGGAGATTGCTGGGTATCTGGGCCAGGGAGGTAAAGAATATGGGAAGTGGTGAGTAATTTGATGAAAAATTTCAGTCAGGCATTAAAAACATTTAAGTACCAGCTGTTTGGCTTTGGAATTTGAACCAGTCACTAGAATGCACATAATTCTCTTGTGATACCTAGCAGTCACAACTACAATATGGATAAAATCATAAGTGAAAGATGAAAACAATGGAGAGAAATCCTTTTTCTCACACAAATATAAGGAAAACAGAAGTCCAGCATCCTTGGGTTCTTGAATGGAACATGATGACTTTGATAGTGACTTTGAACAGAGTGATTTCAAGCCCATCTTTTTCATTTTCTTTCCTTTATGGAAGAAGACGTTTCTCTCCCTCCCCCATGTCCCATGAAAATCAAATAGAGATGGCCTAAATATACTTAAAAGGATTTGCATCCCAAAGACAAGAAAGTTTAGAGTCAGCTCAACCTGGCAGGCTCATTTAGTCACATTCAGTGAAGACAGCTGTGAATTTCAAGAGAAATCTATACTGGTTGGTTAGTTAAGGCAGAAGCCAGAGAAGGTTTGCGCTTTGTGAACTAAACTGCAAAATAATATTTCCGTGGAAGGAAATGACCGTAAATGGCACAGAAACAAGTAATTTATAAAAATAGCAGTTGAAAAAATGCATTTCTAGGGGGACTTAAGGCTACATGGTTTTGTGCTTACAGGCACTTTGTGCTAAAGATGTCAATTTCTCACTAACTCTTTTCACACTCATATTCCAAGTTAAAACTATTGCCAAATAGGCAATAGGACCTACACACATTAACACCTGTAGGAACTACACAAGCTCTGAGTGAGTAGGTTCATGAGTTTTACAGTCAAATAAATGAATTCTCCTGGATAATTTGGGAACATGAGCATGAGCACACAGGCTTTCAGACATTCTCAGTCCTTTCACTCTCTCTGAGCAGAGATTCACTTCCCACTGTTGCTCCATTGTTTCGTGGTTGGTGATGGGTGCCCAGTCCTCTTCCCAAGAGACACCTAAGGCAGCCCAGCCACTCCCAAATTGCTCTAGATGAATATGACATCTTGAGAGACTGTTCTGGAAACTACTTTCCATTTTTCCAAAAGGCATGTGACTGTTCTGCTCTGTCTCAGTAGGACAACTTCCGCAGCTATGAGCAACCCA